ATTTTTTAATTTAAAATTTAATTCCAATTTTATTTTTTTCTATTTTTTGCTTTTTAATAGCGAATGAAAATAAATTAAATAAAAAAATTTTATTTTTCAATTACCTTACAAAATTTCGTCACAGAAAGAGGTAAACAAATAAATAAGCACTATGATTAGCGACCGGTTTTTTTTATTTTAACGGCTTTAGGGATTTTTGTTAGTTTCAGCTATTTTATTTTATTTTAGTTAGTCTTTGTTCTCTTTATTTTTCTGTTTGTTTTTCGTTTTATTTTATTTTTATATTTGTTTAAGGGAAAAATAAAGAGGAATAAGTGGTCGGTAATGCTTGGGCGCGCGCTAATAAATTAACTGAAGATGAGAACTTTTAGCCTTGAAATTTTGTAAGGATATATTTCATAGTGTCAACTATGTTCTCTAAAAATTTTGAAATTTTTGGTTAACTATTCCTCGTGTTATAATCAAAAGAATGTCTAAAATCGTCATTTTTCCTTGAAAAAGCGGACATTTTTGATCATAACTTGAGAGATTTACGACGAAAAATTCTGAAATTTTTAGAGTATAAAGTTAAGAGTATGAAAGATATTTGTGCAAAATTTCAGAGCTCTAAGTTATAAAATGAATATTTTATAGGCACGCGTCCAAACACAAGTCGAAAGATAACGCGCCCAGAAGAACCAGTCTCGAGGGAGGTAAAATAAAATAAAAATGAGGAAATAAAATAAAAAGGAACTGACAGCCCCAACTATTCTCTTCCATTTTCTATTAATCTCAATTTAATACTATTTTTCTAGTGTGTAAATAAATCTGCTATTTTAAGTGTTTACTAAAAAGATGAAATGGGGAGGATGCTAAAAATATTAAAATAAAAAAATTAAAAATAATTTTCTTGAAGAAATTGAAGAAAATAAAATGGGAAATAAAATAAGAAAAATAATCTTAAAAAATTTTTTGTAGAAAAATAACTAATAAATTTAATTTTTATTTAGGGGCAAGTGTTCTATATTAACGATCTCGTGATTTTCTCCTTGAAATTTTTTTCTTTTAATTTTTTTTCCTTTTAAGGGAGTACAGCGAAAAAATAAAAAAAATAAACCTGTTTTGAATTTTAAATTTATTAAAAAATAATTTCATTTAAAATTAATTGAATTTGAATTACACGCGGCAATAATTTTTTAAATTATCACCGAGTGGAATAAAAAGCCACGTTTTGCTGTCTAAAACAACTGTCAGTATTAAGAGAAATATAAAATTATTTATATACCTAAATAAAATTGTAGTTTGGAAATAAAAAAGAAAAAATGAATTGGACACAGACAATATTTAATTTGTTGAGGATTTTAAAAATACTAGAAACACGCTAAATAACACTAAAAATAGCACATAAAAAGAAGAGTGTAATGTGTGCAGGCTTATATTTAAAATACAAAACTTGTAGCCTTCAGGAAAGTTTTCCGGAAATTTCAATTTCTAGTAGGTAGGCTTATTTCTAGTAGGTAATACTACAATCAAATTGACTTTATAGTTTCCGGAAGGTTGTAAAATAAAATAGAATAGAAAGTTTTCCGGAAAGTTTTAATATTTCCGGAAATAATATAGGTATAAATAATTTATATTTATTATACTTTCCGGTTGAGCAATTTTCCGGAAGAATATTAAATAATAAAATTTAATTACTTCTATAGTTTCCGGAAAGTTTAGAACTCTAGGAAATGATATAGTTATAAATAATTTATACATATTTATTATACTTTCCGGTTAAACAATTTTCAGGTTGAGTAATTAGATATCGTAAATGCTCTAATATAAACCCTGGGCTTATATTCTTCAATGGTGGAATTTGAGTGGGCTTCTATTAGAGCCGGGCTTCTATTAAAGACTGGGCTTATATTTTTCGATAGGCCTCCTTGGGTTGAATTGTGAATTGATAGGCCTCCTTGGGTGTGTGTCGAGCTTTAATTAGAGCAATTACGGTAATTAATATTTAATTAACTCTCTAGTTTCCGGAAAGTTTAGAACTCTAAATTTTTTCCGGAAAGATTTAAAGTTCATTTTAATTACTCACCAAGAAAATTTTTTCCTGAAAAAATTAACTAAGATTTTTACTTAATAAAAAAATATAAAATGAAAAATAAGCACGTTTTATTAAAATGAAGTAGAATAACAAAAATAATTTTTATTTTAAAAGGATAGTGGATGATGCAATATTATTATTTTATTACATTAGCTTATAGTGCAAAAAGCGCTTGAATTGCATCATCACCTATTTTATTATTTGGAAAGACGTGGGAGAAATGATGAAATTGATTTGTTAATTTCACAGACAATATTTTAATGATAAATAGTAAATAAAAATTTTACCTGATTGTATTTTAATTTTTATTAAAATATTTTTTAATTTTGTTTGTTTCTAAATTTTAAGTATTTTTATTGTATTAAAAATTATAATAATCGAAATTAAAATTATACTATAATATTTTCCGGATGTGTTTATATTTCATTTTCCGGATAATCTTTTTATATTTCATTTCCGGAAATATATTTATTTCGTGAAAATATACTTTTCCGGAAACTATAATAAATAGAAACCTTTCCGGAAAATAAATTATGTATTTATTTTACTTTCCGGATTTGATATCTTTCCGGAGTAACATATAAATATATATGTCCTGAAAATATTTTTTCCGGAAATCTGAAAATATACTTTTCCGGAAACTATAATAAATATAAACTTTTCCGGAAAAATAATTATGTATTTATTATATTTTTTTCCGGATTTTAGAACTTTCCGGAATAATATGTGTACTATTTCCCGATATTATATTTCAGAAAATTTATTCCTCCATGATTTATATTATGCATTATATATAGGTATATCCGTATATTTTCCGGAATTTTAATTCATTATTTTATTTAATAAAATTTCTATTTATTATAGTTTGTGCTATTTCATTAAATTTTAATAATTTGTGTTTTCAACGATATTAAATTAAAAATTTTAGATAGACTACTAAAATCGTTGACAGCCTCTACTTTTATTTTTATTAAATATTTTCTAGTGTAGTCTAAAAAATAAAAAAATAAAAAAGAAATTTTAATATAAATACCCCTTAAAATTCCCAAGAAGAAATTTCCTTGAATTATTATTTTATCATAAAATTTATTTTTCTGTAGTAATAAAATTAAGCACTTTTTATTGGAAATATAAATGGGGCCATTTAATTATTTTTTTAATAATTAAATAATAATTAAATTTATTTCTGCTTTAAAAACAAAAATTTATTTAAATAAAAATATTTTTTTAATATCATAAGAAATTTTGCATGATTTTAAAATTAAATTTCTATAAGGAAATTTAAAAAAATTTATGACAGCTATCACGTTTTAAAGTTTACGCGTGCTAAACTCTCACATGGTTTGTATATTTATTAAACGTGATTTTTAATTATTTTAATTAATTTTTGTTTTTGATGGGTGCTTAATTAGAAATAAAAATTAAATTTAGATGACGAGATTCTGCTATAGTTTCTCGGAATTTTCCGGAATTTTTTTTTTAGAGTTAATTAAACCTCCCCGGAATTGTATAAAGTTCTGGTTATATTAATTCCGGTAAACTATATCTACATATTTACATGAATTCCGGAAATTATTTCCGGAAAATTTAGTAAATCAGCTAGGCTATAGCTATTTCTCTCTTTCAGATAGTCCATAATAGTGTTATTCAAATGCGTTTTTTCGGTATCGGTATCGGTATTTTCGGTAAAATACCGATACCGAAAAAATACCGAATTTCTAAAAATTGTTCGGTACCGTATTCGGTATCGGTATTTCGGTAAAAATACGGCGGTATTACCGAAAAATACCGCCGTAATACGGTACCGTGAATAACACTAGTCCATAAGGTTAATCGGCGAACCAGTATTTTCTGTAGACCGTACTGATGAACCGTAGGAACAGCCGTAGGAATATGTGTGATTTTCCAGTTATTTTATAGTTTCAGGAAAGATCATTATTTTATTGTTATAAATAGTATTTTAATTAAAAATCCTTTGTATTTTCCTGAATTTTTTAAATTATAGTTCTAATTTTGTCTTAATAATATTTAATAATTACTCAATTTATACCTACCAATTAAATTTAAATAAATAATTAATTATTTTATTATAATTTTAAAAATATTTTTAAATTAATATTTTTGCTTTATTATGGCCTCACTCACTTCAAACCATATAGACAGGCAAATTTATCACTCCTTTTGGGACAAATTTTCCGATAGGGCTGATAATACATCCATGCTTTTAAATGCGGATGCTGATAAATTTGAAGCTCTTGACAGGCAAATAAATTAAAAAAGAAAATTTTTGAAATTTTAAATATTTTTAGAGCAGAAATTATCGGAATGTTGCCTTCTTTTAAAAATAAATTTGTTGTGGATATTGGGGCGGGTATTGGGTTGGTTATCCAATAAAATATTTTAGTGAATATTTAATATTTTTCTAGAAGATTTACTACAGAATTTGCCAAAAAGGCAAGAAAAGTGGTCTCGACAGATTTTGTGGTGGGCATTATTAGACCTTTTACTATAGTTTCCGGAAATACATTTTCCGGAATATATCTTAAATATTTCAGGAAAATTTATTCTCTATTCCGGATTTGAATACCTTCCGGATTTATATATGAAAATATCAGGAAATACTTTTCAGGAAAATATTTCCGGAAACATTTTTCGGAATATAGAATATCTATAAATATTTATTTTCCGGATGTTATATTCTTTCCGGAAAAATTATTATTACCTATTATAAATTGTACTTTGATTCCGGAATTTACATTAATAATAATAGGTATATTAATGCATCTTTCCGGAAGATCATTTCTATTTTCCGGAAGACAAATATCTTTGTATTGCTCAAATAAAAATATTATTTCTTAGGCTAGCTTTATCGAGAAAAATCGGGAAACAAATTCAGCCTTTAATAACATTGAATGGAGAGTTGGCGATGCTGTAAGATTAGATTTTGAGGAGGGGAGGTTATTTTAATTTGGGTTATTCTTTAAAAAATTATTTTTAAAGTATTGATATAGTCTTTACCAATTGGCTTTTGATGTATTTAGTGGATGAAGAAGTTGTTGAATTTTTGATTAATGCTATTAAATGGCTCAGGCCTGGCGGTTATTTACATTTGAGAGAGTCCTGCTCTGAACCTAGCAGTAAGTGTTGCTAAATAATTTTCTGGATCCGGAAAAATTTTTTTTCTGTAAAATACTCTCCGGAAATATAAATTATCACTATAACCCAAAATATAATATTTTCAAAAATATTTTAGGCAAAAAATCTAATAATTCGCTACATTCTAATTCTGATAATATCAATCCAACTAAATATCGCTTTTCATCCGCATATATTCAATTGCTCAGATCAATTAATTTTAAAAGCAGAGATGGAAACGTTTGGGGGTTTAAAATCCACTGGGCTTGCTCTGTTAATGTTTATATTCAAGTAAATTTAATTAAAATATTTTAAATTTAAAATAAAATTAAAGAAAAATGCAAATTGGAGACAAGTGCATTGGCTAGTAAGCAAAGTTCCTAAAAAGGAAAAATTGATGCCAAATTTGGGTATAATGCTAGGAGAGAAGTGGCCTGAAGAGCAGAAGGAATGGGACAATAAACTTGACTTGGTTTCGAATGAGAATCAGAATGTTTGTAAATAAAACCATTCGGAAAATACAAAATTTATAAAAATATTTCCGGAAAATATAATGTATTAGTAAAATACGGAGAAAAATATAGTTTCCTAAAAATATCCGGAAAATCTAATTATTAATTATTAAATATAATACAGTCCGGAAAATGATAAATACATAATACTGCAATCCGGAAATAAATATAGTTACTATTTACGGAAAATATTCAATATCAATAAAATACAGAAGTTTCCGGAAAATAATGTATTAACTAAATACTATAATACAATCCGGAAAATACTTAAAGTTATATTTATAAAGAATCCTTTCCGGAAAAATATATTCCACCATTCCGGAAGCTATTCAATTGTAAACATATATTTTTTATTACAGCTTCCGGAAAATAGAAAAAGAAAAAAGCTTTTCCGGAAAGATATACTCCATGATTCCGGAAGCTATACACATTCAATTATAATATACATATTTCTAGTACACTTTCCGGAAAATAGAATAAAGTCCGGAAAAGACTTAATTATAATAATTCTCTTCATTTCAGATCACTTCAACTCTAGTCAGTTATCTTTTATCCAACGGAATTGGATCAAATTTGGTTATACTTGTTTTCGACTTGAGAAATAGTGAAAATCAGCCCAGTATTAATGTTCACACATTGGCTAACGTAATAAATCTTTAAAAAATTCGTCCCAAAAATTCAAATTTTTAGAGACTAAATTCAAATATTTGGTCTGTTTCCCTCAATCCTTTCTGCTTCCGTCATTCATTAACTCTTGCTAATAATAACCAAGACAGACGGATTAGACACTCTTGGCATGAGGATATTGAAAGCGCTTTCCAATTTTTGGGTGAACAAATATCCGGCAAAGAGGAAAATATTAACAAATTATTTGATGTAATTATTGGTATTGGTCTGTTAGAAAAAATTAAAGAAATGAAAAATGTTAGCGAGAAAGTTGAGGTGTGATTTTTTACAATTTTCTGGATTAAAAAATATTTTTATTGCAGAAAATTCTCGGCCGTTATTTATTGAGTATTGAAACAAGTGAAGGAGTTGATCTAAGAAAGGAAGAAAAGACTGATGAACTTCCAGTAAGTTTATTTTATATTAGTATTACAATTTGTAAAGGTCCACCGAAACCCCGACCCGAACCCCGAAGGCTTTACACCGAGAAAACCTGATCTCCGACGTTCACCCTCGTGCGGGCAAAACCCCAACCCGACTCCCAAAACTGAATTTTTAGCAAAACCCCCCACTCGAACCCCGAAGGCTCTACCCCGGCAAACACCAAAACCCGACACTCCCGCCCCCGAAGGCTCGGGTACCCCACTAAATTTATATAATTGTAAATAATATATAATTGTAAAATATTGCAAAAATAAACTTGGTAGTTGTTCATAAACCTGAAACTTAAGTTACAAGTTAAATTATATTTTTACAAATTGTAAAAACTTTCTATTAACTAGTCTACTTTTTACTTTATTTCAGGCATATCTCCCACCAGAATTATTTACAAAGCAAACAGTACAATACTCAGAAAATGCAAGTTTAATCAGTTTGGTTAGGATTGAAAAAGTCAAGAAACTTGTGAAGGAGCATAAAAAAGATGAAAGCATGGGTGTATGGTTAAACCCACTAAGTGGAGGATTTTAAAAATATTTTTAAAAAAATTTTGATTGAAAAAAATAAATTGAAGGGTTTTCTCATTGTCCCGCCTTTGATAATTAATTAAAATAAATTTTTAAAATTGGATATGAAATTGTTTTTGGTGAACAATGAGTAAAACAACCTTTTTTTGATTATCTAAAGCTAATAAAAATTAAAAAAAATTTTTGCCAAAATTTTTTAAATCGCAAAAGATGTACATCCACGCCTTTTTAATAATGGTGTGGTTTCACTAGCTTCTCTTTCCTCCTCCTTTCTGGCTATTTCTTCCATAATTTCTATTGTACGGGAGTGGCCAACACCTGAATTTAATCAGAATAAAATCAGAATTTTAATTCGTTCAGAATTTCAAAAATCAGAATTTGAAAAATAAAATTCTCTTAAAAATCAGAATTAAATCAGAATGGAATCAGAAACATTTAAAAATCAGAATTTTTAATTAATTAAAACTAGAATAAAATCAGAACATTTCAAAACTAGAATACACGAAAATCAGAACAAATCAGAATATTTTTATAATCAGAATAAAAACCAGAAGACCGAAAAATCATGATGGAATAGATGTTTAGATTTAAAACAGGAAATCAGAATTTCAAAAAGCAGAATTAAAGATAATAATAAAAAATCAGAATTAAAAGCAGAAAATCAAGCCTGTTCAGAATTTAAATTTCAAACTTGAAAATCAGAATTTCGTAAATCAGAATTAATATCAAAAATCAGAATTATATATTATATATTAATATATTATATATTTAATTATATATTAATATCAAAAATCAAAAATCAAAAAAAAATCAAAAATCAAAAATTAATATCAAACACTTCAAATCATATAAACAGGCAAATTTATCACTCCTTTTGGGACAAATTTTCAGATAGGGCTGATAACACATCCATGCTTTTAAATGCGGATGCTGATAAATTTGAAGCTCTTGACAGGCAAAAAATAAAAAAATAAAATTTTGAAATTTTAAATATTTTTAGAGCAGAAATTATTGGAATGTTGCCTTCTTTTAAAAATAAATTTGTTGTGGATATTGGGGCGGGTATTGGGTTGGTTATCCGATAAAATATTTTAGTGAATACTTTTTATTTTTTTAGAAGATTTACAACAGAATTTGCCACAAAGGCAAGAAAAGTGGTCTCAACAGATTTTGTAGTGGGTATTATTAGACTTTTACTATAGTTTCCGGAAATACATTTTCCGGAAGGTATTATAAAGCTTTTAGGAAAATATGTTTTCTATTCCGGATTTGAATACTTTCCGGATTTTTATAAATTCTTCAAAGTATCAGGAAATATTTTCCGGAAAATATACCCGAAAACATTTTCCGGAATATAGAATAGCTATAAATATATTTTTCCGGATTTATATTCTTTCCTGAAACATTTTCCGGAATATAGAATATCTATAAATATATTTTTCCGGATGTTATATTCTTTCCGGAAAGTTTATTATTCTCTGCTATATGTGTATTTTGATTCCGGTATTTAACATTAATAGTAATATAATAATGTAACTTTCCGGAAGGTAATTTCTATTTTTCGGAAGACAAATTTCCTTGTATTACCTAAATAAAAATATTATTTCTTAGGCTAGCTTTATCGAGAAAAATCGGGAAACAAATTCAGCCTTTAATAATATTGAATGGAGAGTTGGTGATGCTGTGAGATTAGATTTTGAAGAGGGGAGGTTATTTTAATTTGGGTTTTCCTTTTAAACAATATTTTTTAAAGTATTGATATAGTTTTTACCAATTGGCTTTTAATGTATTTAGTGGATGAAGAAGTTGTTGAATTTTTGATTAATGCCATTAAATGGCTCAGGCCCGGCGGTTATTTACATTTGAGAGAGTCCTGCTCTGAACCTAGCAGTAAGTGTTGCTAAATAATTGAGGAAAATACTCGTAAAAATAATTTTCTGGATCCGGAAAATTTTTTTTTCTAAAATACTCTCTGAAAATATAAATTATCACTAAAATCCAAAATAATATTTTCAAAAATATTTTAGGCAAAAAATCTAATAATTCGCTACATTCCAATTCTGATAGTATCAATCCAACTAAATATCGCTTTTCATCCGCATATATTCAATTGCTCAGATCAATTAATTTTAAAAGCAGAGATGGAAACGTTTGGGGGTTTAAAATCCACTGGGCTTGCTCTGTTAATGTTTATATTCAAGTAAATTTAATTAAAATATTTTTAAATTTAAAAATAAAATTAAAGAAAAATGCAAATTGGAGACAAGTGCATTGGTTAGTAAGCAAAGTTCCTAAAAAGGAAAAATTGATGCCAAATTTGGTTACGATGCTTGGAGAGAAGTGGCCTGAAGAGCAGAAGGAATGGGACAATAAACTTGACTTGGCTCTGAATGAGAATCAGAATGTTTGTAAATAAAACTATCCGGAAAACACTGAAATAGATTTTTAAAACTTATTTCCGGAAAATATAACGTATTAATAAAATAGGAAAAAATAGTTTTCTGAAAATATTCGGGAACTCTAATTATTAATTATTAAATACAATACAGTCCGGAAAATGTTAAATACATAATACTGCAATCCGGAAGATAAATATAGTTACTATTTCCGAAAAATATTCAATATCAATAAAATAAATGTATTAACTAGAGATCGGACCGTACCGTACTACGGCCGTATTTTTCGGTATTTATCGGTATTCCGTATCGGTAGTACGGCACGGAATACGGTACGGCAAAATTTTGAAGTTGATCGGTATTTTTCGGTATTCCGTACCGTTTTACGGAACGGAAACAAAACAAAATACCGATAATACCGATCGATAAAAATTTTTAAAGTTTTATTTTATTTTAAGCGAAAAAATGCTCTCGGCCCTTGATAATTTTCAAAATTTTTGCCTGCGGCGCTAAAAAGGAAGAAATCTTGTTTCTTGGACTTACATCTTCTCAAAATTTTCGTCTGCGTGTGTTTATCTCCACAATTTAGAAATAAAAATAATTATTTTTAACTAAATTAATTTTTTAAATACGGTACGGAATAGCGATAAATTTTTATCGGTATTTTTCGGTATTCCGTACCGTTCTACGGAACGGTAAAATTTTGAATTTTATCGGTATTTATCGGTATCGGTATATACGGTAGTACGGTACGGAACAAAATTCCGATCTCTAGTATTAACTAAGTATAATACAATCCGGAAAATATTTAAGTTATATTTATAAAGAATCCTTTCCGGAAAAATATATTCCACCATTCCGGAATTTATAAAATTTATTTTAACGTATTTTTTTACACTTTCCGAAAAATATACTCTATCATTCCGGAAGCTATACACATTCAATTATAAAATTGTATTTTTTACACTTTCCGGAAAATAGAATAAATTCCGGAAAAGACTCACCTATAATAATTCGTTTTATTTCAGCTCACTTCAACCTTAGCCAGTTATCTATTATCAAGTGGGATTGGATCAAATTCAGTTATACTTGTTTTCGACTTGAGAAATAGTGAAAATCAGCCCAGTATTAATGTTCACACATTGGCTAACGTAATAAATCTTTAAAAAATTCGTCCCAAAAATTCAAATTTTTAGAGACTAAATTCTAATATTTGGTCAGTTTCCCTCAATCCTTTCTGCTTCCGTCATTCATTAACCCTTGCTAATAATAACCAAGACAGACGGATTAGACACTCTTGGCATGAGGATATTGAAAGCGCTTTTCAATTTTTGGGGGAGCAAATATCCGGCAAAGAGAAAAATATTAACAAATTATTTGATGTAATTATTGGTATTGGTCTGTTAGAAAAAATTAAAGAAATGAAAAATGTTAGCGAGAAAGTTGAGGTGTGATTTTTTACAATTTTCTGGATTAAAAAATATTTTTCTTACAGAAAATCCTTGGCCGTTATTTGTTAAGTATTGAAGCAAGTGAAGGAGTTGATATAAGAGAGGTAGAAAAGAATGATGAACTTGCAGTAAGTTTATCTTTAAATTTGTATTACAATTTGTAAGGATATAACCTAGTTTAAAACTCAAGTTTTAAGTGAACTTACAAACAAGTTCATTTTTGTAATACTATAATTTAGGGTATTCCCCGTCCCCCGAAACCCCGACCCGAAGGCTTTACACCGAGAAAACCTGATCTCCAACGTCCACCCTCGTGCGGGCAAAACCCCAACCCGACTCCCAAAACCGACTATTTTTTAGCAAAAACTCCGACCCGAACTCCGAAGGCTCTACCCTGGCAAACCCCAAAAACCGACACTCCCGCCCCCGAAGGCTCGGGTACCCTACTATAATTTATAAAAGTGTAATTACAAATTGTAATATTACAAAAATAAACTTGATAGTTGTAAATAAACTTGAAACATAAACTTGAAACTTAAGTTTTAAGTTGAATTATATTTTTACAAATTGTAAAAAACTTTCTATTAACTAGTCTACTTTTATTAGGGTGTAACATAAATAATTAGCTCCCCTTAAACCATGTACATTGTAGCATTTCAAAATACAAGTTTTAGTACACTGCGTAACAAAAAGATGGCACATCATGTTTTTTCGATATAACTCAATGGAAAAGGGTCCGTTTCGACTGAAAATTTTTTTGTAAATAGTTTTCATGACTAGGATAAAGATAAGCTAAACCGCGCGGAAAAATTTTTTTCCTGAATTTTTTTATAAAATAATAACCGTTTTAGCAGTGTAACAAAAAGATGGCACATTTTAAATTTTCGAGATTAGGAGTGGTCTGAAAAATCTATAAAAATTCCTGTAAGCATCTCTATTGATATAGATAGAAAATACAAAAGAAACGAAGTTCTAATATACTTCCATCATCGAGATCTAGAAACCCGAAAATCAGCGGAAAACAGGGGTGAACGTCTTTAAAATATATTTTCGACCCCTTATAGACTAAATTAAAATTTTATTTTACACTTTTCTGAAAGCCCTTTAAATTTGCTATAAGAAACCCTTATTTATAATAAATCGAAAAATTTTACTTAGGAGATATTGAGGGTTAAATTCAATGGACATGAAAATCATTAAATTTACCCCTTTCTGAGCACCTTAAAAGTTTAATGAAGTACAACTTAATGAAAAAAAATTTCTGTAAAATAAAAATTGCTGGTATTATAGCAAATTTAAAGGGCTTTCAGAAAAGCATAAAATGAAAATTTAATTTAGTCTATAAGGGGTCGAAAATATTTTTTAAAGACGTTCACCCCCTGTTTTCCGTTGATTTTCGGGTTTCTAGATCTCGATGATGGAAGTATATTAGAACTTCGTTTCTTTTGTATTTTCTATCTATATCAATAGAGATGCTTACAGGAATTTTTATAGATTTTTCAGACCACTCCTAATCTCGAAAATTTAAAATGTGCCATCTTTTTGTTACACTGCTAAAACGGTTATTATTTTATAAAAAAATTCAGGAAAAAAATTTTTCCGCGCGGTTTAGCTTATCTTTATCCTAGTCATGAAAACTATTTACAAAAAAATTTTCAGTCGAAACGGACCCTTTTCCATTGAGTTATATCGAAAAAACATGATGTGCCATCTTTTTGTTACGCAGTGTATTCCACCTCTAGCTCCTGTCAACTTAATCCTAGGATCCTGATTTTTTGCTAGAAAATAGGCAACTATCTTAGGATCATAAAAAAATATAATTCAAAGTCTGAAAACATTTAGTTGAATTTTAATAAATATTTATTTAATTTTACTCAAGGGAGGCTAAATATTTATGTTACACCCTAATACAATTTGTAATTTTGTATAATTTTTACAATTCGTAAATTACTTCCAACCTAATTTCAGGAATATTTCCCATCAGAACTATTTACAAAGCAAACAGTACAATACTCAGAAAATGCAAGTTTAATCAGCTTGGTTAGGATTGAAAAAGTCAAGAAACTTGTAAAGGAGAATAAAAAAGATGAAAGCATGGGTGTATGGTTAAACCCAATAAGTGGAGGATTTTAAAAATAATTTCAAAAAATTTTTCGATTTAAGAAAAATAAATTGAAGGGTTTTCTCATTGTCCCGCCTTTGATAATTAATTAAAATAAATTTTTAAAATTGGATATGAAAAGATTTTTGGTGGACAATGAGTAAAACAACCTTTTTTTGATTATTTAAAGCTAATAAAATTTAAAGGATTAAAAAAAATTTTTTTAAAAATTAAATCGCAAAGGATGTACATCCACGCCTTTTTAATAATGGTGTGGTTTCACTAGCTTCCCTTTCTTCCTCTTTTCTGGCTATTTCTTCCATAATTTCTATTGTACGGGAGTGACCAACACCTGTGGATATAATTAGAATAAAATCAGAATTTTAATTCTGTCATAATTTCAAAAATCAGAATTTGAAAAATAAAATTCTTTTAGAAATCAGAATATCAGAATAAAATCAGAAAATATTCAAAAACCAAAATTTTCAATTAATTAAAACCAGAATAAAATCAGAATATTTTAAAACCAGAATACACAAAAATCAGAACAAATACGAATATTTGTATAATCAGAATAAAAATCAGAAGATCTGGAAATCATAAAAGGAAATCAGAATTTTAAAAATCCGAAAGACAGGAATAAGAAATCAGAATTAAAACCAGAAAATCGTGACTGTTCAGAATTTAAATTTCAAAGTTTAAAATCAGAATTTCAAAAACCAGAATTTTACAAATCAGAATTTGAACAATCAGAATTTAAAAATCAGAATTAAAAAAAACAGAATTTTACAAACCAGAATTAATATTAAAAACCAGAATTTTACAAACCAGAATTAATTTTAAAAATCAGAATTTCATAAACCAGAATTTTAAAATCAGAATTTAAAAATCAGAATTTCATAAACCAGAATTTTAAAATCAGAATTTAAAAATCAGAATTTCAAAATCAGAATTTTACAAGCCAATATTAATATTAAAAAATCAAAATTTTTAATCCCCTTACATTTCGTATTAAATTCAATTTTATCAGTTTTAGCAAAAAGTGCCCTAGACAGAGGTGAGCGTTCTCCATTGTTAAAACAGGCAGTCTATTAAAAGAAAATTTTTTTCGAAAAAATTTTCTGTAAAAATTTACAGCGCAGAACAGATAAAACCAGTCATATTTTAATTCGGTAAAGACAACTCTCCTTCCATAAACATTCATTTTTTGCCATTCACCTAAACGTGCTTCTGAATTATCTGTCCAGTAGACAACATAATTCTTTAAAAAATTTTCTTCGGTTAAAAAATTTTTTAGAACCTTTAAATCATTAGCTCTTTTATAGGGCGGCTCCCAACTCAATTCGATTGAATTTGGGCTCAATTTTGTAGCCAAAATGTGTTGGGGACTAAGTTGGGGTTCTGTAAAAGTTAAGGGGTTTTGCCAATTATACAGTAATATTTTAAACCACCAGTATATTGAACTAAAATAACGGGCTTGCTCTCCCCATATTTGGAAACTGCTGTAATTCTAAATTCATATAAGGAGCATGATTGAAGGCTCATAATCTCTACAGCAAAATTCTAGAAAAATTTTCTAAAAAATTTTTTTCATAAAAAAACTTGTATTCCTTTCAATTCTCGTATTTTTGAATTTTTGTCCTCTCCCTCTTCAAATTCTTCGTATCTGGAAATGAGAGAATTTACAGTAATTTACGCAAAATGTGTGGAAGTGAAAAGAAGCTCAGTAAACGCATAACGATTTCTAGGTGTTAAAAAAGCTGCTTTCATAACTTCTGTAAACAGCCTTTTTAACATCTAGAAACCTGCTGCGTTTAAAGAGCTTCTTTTTTGACGATCCTCTCTCTTATATGTACTCTCTCTTATATTGAGGCCAAAATATGGGTTAAGTCAGGGCTCCGATTCGTACTTTATTTGAAAGTACAGTACTTTAAAATCGACCTCCGTACTTACGAAATAGAATTTGTACTTTATTGAAAGTATGTACTTTAAAATCAACATTTTGAAAAAAATGGAAGAAATCAGCTTAAGGACCTCCAAAATTCCCTAAATTTTCGCCTGCGGCGCTAAAAAAGGAAGAAATCTGGCTTCTTGAGGTCCAAAATTTAAAAAATTTTCGCCTGCGGCGCAGAAAAGAGAAAAATATGGCTTCTTGGTCTTCGGAAATTCTCCAAATTTTTGCCTGCGGCGCTGAAAATGGAAGAAATATGGCTTAAGGACCTCCAAAATTCTCAAAATTTTCGCCTGCCCTTATAAAATATAGATACAAATTACCAAATTTCATTAAAATCGTTCAACTCAGTTAAAAGTTATTAATTTTTCAAAAAGGGCTTTTCTGGTGAAACACCCTGTAGATTTTTTGGCGCCTTCGGTGCCGCAAAAAAGTGTATTGAACTGCACAGAATGCTCAGTGGAAATAAGAAATTACAAAAAAGAGCCATTAAAGAGAGAAATATAAAAGATTTAAGCACGAATAAATATTTTCTAATTTAATTTGGAGTGTACTTTAAATTTGGAAATTTTGTCCCTATGTCCTTTAAAATCGAGATTTTTGTACTCTAGATTGGAATTTTGTCGATCGGAGCCCTGGGTTAAGTTAAAAGAAGCTCAGTAAACGTATGTCGGTTTCTAGGTGTTAAAAAAGCTGCTTTCATAACTTCTGTAAGCAGCTTTTCTAACATATCGAAACTTAAATGCGTTTAAAGAGCTTCTTTTTTAAACGATCCTCTCTCTCTTATATGTATTCTCTCTTATATTAAGGCCATTTGAGTATACCTACTTTTGTCTATATCGTATATTGTAAGTAACTTTGACATCAGAAGAGGAAAAAGCTGGCGCCCAAGCTAATCTGACACTGTAGGCTGATGTAGACACAATTTGACATTCATGGGGTGGATCTGGTGGCAGGCGGGCAAACATAAAGGTTCCATCAGGCACTTGAAATTTTTTAGAGTTTCAAAGTGCCCCAATACTCAAATTCTGATAAAACTCACAAATATGCGAAGTTCTTCTGTGTCTAGAAAATTTTCTCAATGAAATCTTTCTTTGCATTTCTGTAAAATTTCGATGGGCAAAGATCATTCCTTTAGCTAATTGTGCTAATAAATTGGCCATTGCAACACGCCGTTTTCTATTTTATTTTTTTAATAAAATTTTGAATTTATCATTTACTTTGCTTTTGCCTCCCTTATCATATAGAAAGGGTTATTCGATTGCAATTTTCTTCCCAAATAGTGAATTTCTTTTAAATACATTCGTCCTACAATGTCCATACCTAAAATTCGAATCCACTGATTAACCTTCGATTACCGTATTTTCTCTAAAATACTCCTCCACTCTCTAGGATACCCCCTCTCTAAAATACCCCCATTATAAAATAAGCCCCACCCCCAATCTCTAAAACAACATCCCCCTCTAAAATACCCACCCCTTCAAAATACCCCCCACCCTTCTAAAATACACCCCCCTCTTTAAAATAGCTCCCCTTCTAAATTTCACCTCCCTATAAAATACTCCCACCCTCTTTAAGATACCCCCCCCCTCTAAAATACCCTCCCCTCCCTCTCTAAAATACCCTCCTCCTTTCTAAAATAGCCCCCCTCAAGAGGTCGATCGAAAGATAGCCCTCGGGAGTTATTTTAGAGAAAATACGGTATTTCAAAATGTCCAATCTCAAAATTTTGTTCATAATGTCCAAATTCCATAAAACAAGTTTTCTACTGTATTTCGACAAAATGAGTTTCCCCATTATGACTCTTTTAAGTTCTTGACATTTTGAAAAATTGACGTTTTTGATGTTGTCTGAATTATAAATTACTAACACATAGTAGTGAATATAACACCACAAATAACCAGAATCAGAACGGGAAACATATTTTCTGGATGGGGACGGTAATCGCCAAAACCTTGAGGGAAAGAATAATTTTTTGGAAATTTTTTAAAATTTTCAACCTACCAACAGTCAATATACTTATAAAAGTAAAATATAATGATTCTAAATATGTCCATTTAATTTCGTATTGTTTTTGAATTATTAAAGCAGCTAGGAAGCCATAGGCTATAACTAGGGTAAAAGCAATAAATGGTGGAAAACGAACAAGACGGACACGTTCCAAGAAACTCTGAAAATGTGAAAGTGAAAATATATTGTCGTAAAATTTTTCTAAAGACGACAAAATGACTCAGAAACGACAAAATATCCCAAAAACGACAAAATATCCCAAAAACGACAAAAAATTCGCAAAAACGACAAAGTACCTCAAAAACGACAAAATGTTACAAAAACGACAAAGTTCCCAAAGACGCCAAAATGACTCAGAAACGATAAAGTATCATTAAACTTTCTTCTCGTACCTGTTCGTCATCATTTTCTCCTATTAATTCACCACTATTTTCATTTGAATTTTGGCCAGGTATATTGCTTCGACTTCGAAAAAAATCTCTTAAATTTCCCCAAATAGCCCAAAATTTGTAGTGGAGGAAGAAAACAAATTCAGTGAAAAATTTGGCTAGGCTAAAGAAAAATTTAAATTGGATTATCTAATTAAAAGTAGTCAAACCTCGCTATAAGTTACCCTTAGGGCTTGAAAAATCCTAGCCGATAATGGGGTATACCTGTGTTAAATTGGAGGTATCCCTTAGGCAGCTTGGCCGTACTTGTGTAGTTTCCCCCCATTAAGCCCCGCCTCTTTCTCTACTCTCTTCCTTTTCTTTTAAAGCTCTTTTTCTTTTTCTTCCTAAAAGAAAAGCTTACTTCCCTTCTTTATAAGAAAAGGAAGAGAGAGAGAAAGTGATTAGGGGCGGGGCTTATGGGAGGGAAACTACACAAGTGGAGACAGGGGGACACACTGTGGACAGAGGGACCCACTCTGTGGACACGTGGGCAACCATATTTTAAAAAAATGACTCCTAAATAGAGGTGTATCCAATATTGGGAGTATCCTATAGGGAGGTCTGACTGTAAGCTTAAAGACTTTGCAACGTTGACCAGAGTAAGAGGAATACCTAAAATAAATTTTTTTTAAATTAATTCAATTTATTAACCAATTAAACAATACAACACCCCAAAAAGTCTCCCATAAAAAGTAGTTGGACAAACATATCCATAACCTATTGAAGTTAGCATTGTAGCTGTGAAGAAGAGGGAGTTTTTGAAGTCCCAAGTTGGCGGGTTCTTAATTAGAAGATTTTTATTTTATTTTATACAATCGAACCTCACTATTAGATAGAAGTAAATTTAAGTACACCTCAATTAAATATACCTAGTTTGCCACGGACGGAAGAACCACATTTGAGATAACTCTCATTATAAGATACTATGTACTATTTTCTGTCTTACAGGGAAATTTTTTCTGTCAAGTAGCTGTTAAGAAAATGGAGTTTATGATGTCCCAGTCTTGTGTAGTTTCCCCCCACTTGTGTAGTTTCGCTCTCCTGTCGAAATTTCTACTTTTTTGGGGGTTCGCGTTTCTTCTTTCACATTTTTCAGTGTTTCGACCCTTCGCTTTCGACTTTCGTTTTTAAAATAGTATTGATCACCCATGCTGTGGAGAAGTTTTTAAAGTCCCAGTACATGTGTAGTTTACCCCCACTTTCACCTCCTCAAGTATTAGTGAGGCCCGACTTGTAAAATTATTAATTATCCACCTCCTCAAATCCATGCCTAACAGATTTGTGTGCACTATACACAGTATCCACATAATTTTCAAAATGTTCTCTAGTACCTTCCAAAATTTCTTTAATTAATTCCTTTTCGGATAGTTCCCTCTCATTTAAACGTTGAGGAGGATTATTTATTAAACTCCATAAAGCATCGGCATATAAAATTGAATTTTTGTCGATCAAGTTTAAATGTTTTGATTTTGTTTCTGTAATGGGAGTAAAATAAATTTAAAAAGGAATTTTTATTTCGAAGGGTGTTGAGTTTAAAATCCTTATATTGATGCTATCCCCAGGATAATACTAACAATAAGCAGGAATAACAGTAAAAGTTAAGCAAATTTTAGATACCCAAGCAGGAATAGACCGGAGACGTATTGGTAGTTATATCGTTCAGCCCCAGATATGTAAGTGTTAGGAGTGTTGCAGGACGCAAGACGCAACGGACGCAAATAACACAAAACACAATGCGCACACCCTTGGCTTAGATATCAGAACTGTGTAAACTAAATATTCAGAATCGGAAGAAAAATCGAAGAAAAAAAGATTGAGATCTTTGGATCTCCCTTCATTGTATGCAGTCTCTGGAACAGATTTAAGTCTCTCTCTGGAGCCGATAGAGACCACTTAAACTAATCGAGGAAGTGGAGTGATTAATCCAACGATGGATATAGTATTAGAGAATAAATCTCGACTTTAAATAAAATCACCTTTAAGATTCTCCCCCTCCAACAGACGAAAAACCCAGGCTCCAAATACCGTATAAAGCAAACAGGCCACGGCTAGGAGTACGTGGTGTGAAAGTAAGCGGTTGCGGAGACAATTGCTATTATTAAAAAATTTTTTTCAAATAATTTTGGTTATGGCTTACATGAATGAGTTAAATAGACATTCTAGAAAATTTCTCATTTTAAGGGTTGAAATTTTGAAAATTTTTAATTCGTCGAATTTTTGGCGTTATGTCCATTTACATTAAAATAGGGGAAATTTTGACTTCTTATGGAAAAGATAGGAATTGATATATTTGACTTGAAATTTTTATTTTTATTCGTCAAGAAAAATAAAATATTATAGAAAGGAGCTAAAAATAATCCCAAGGGGGATTTTATATTTTTAAAAGAAGATTTTTTATTTATTTATAGAGGGAAAAACAATGAAAAAATAGTGGATTTTTTGGCGTAGTAAGAGTTGCTTGGGCGGCCATAAAATAAGTATAGGTCCACTTAGAACTGTGAAATTTTGCAGGGATGTCATTAATACCCTTGTTTAATAGACTTAAAAATCTCAGAATTTCTGGTTTCAAATTTCAGAATTTCCGAAGAAAAATCAGAATTTTGGTTAAAAATGCTAACTTTTTAGAGGTTTTTTGGCCATAACTTTTGGCTGAGTTGAGTTAAAATTCTGAAATTTTTACTGTCGATGGGTAACACTATTAAAAATCTCAGTGCAAAATTTTAGAGCGGTATCTTCTCATTAACTGATAGTTTTGTATGCTGGCGTGACCAATGGTTGCTAGCCCAAAATGGTTTAAAAATTTTATTTATTCATATTTTTTGAAAAAAATTTTTTTATATTAAAATAAAAAAAGTAAAAAAAATTTGTATTTTGTCCAACTTTTAGTGCAAAAATATATTTAAATTTAATTTAAAAAGCAAAGCGTCAGACGACTATTTTTCGGCTAGTAGTACAATGCTTCCTTTCTTGCTTCTTCGTCGTAATCAAATAATCTTATTTTGGATATTCATTAGGTGTTCGATTTATTTAAAAAAGAAGGGGTTATTGTTGCGAAAAATTAAAATTTATAGACTTTGAAAGTTTTTTAGAATTTTTAAAATTTTAAAAAATTTTTCTAAAAATTTTCCTTTAATTTTTTCAATTTTCTCTATTGACCATAAGATCATAAAGTTTATTAACTTTGTATTTCCTACCGTAATACCGAAAAATACCGATACCGATAATTGAAAATTTTATCGGTCGGTATTTCGTACCGTACTACTGATACGGAATACCGATAAATGCCGAAAAATACGGCCATAGTGGGGTACGGTCCGGCCTCTAGTATTAACAATACATTACGTTGACAAACTTAAGTTTTTGTCCTAAAATGTAAATTAGTAGTAAAACATGTAATATTAGAAACTTGGAATTCTTTTGTTTACAAACTTAAGTTTATAAAAAAAAAGTTTTAATAAAGTTTTAAGGAAGATCTACGAGTAAAGTTGTAACACAAACTTGTTTCAAAAAAGTTTGAAAAAAGTTCTAGAAAAAGTTTAAATAAGTAAAAATGCAAACTTAAGTTTGTAGATAAAAAAGTTTCAAAAGGTTTCAGAAAAAAGCTCGAAAAAAGTTTTAACGCAAACTTAAGTTTGTAAAGAACAAATGGAAAAAAAAGTTGGTAAACTTGGTAAAATAAAAGAATTTAATGAACACGCGATTTATACACGCAATTATTACTAGAATAATACAAATTATTAAGGTTGCGAAATAGTGAGAGAGCTAACATTCATAAAAGCTGGTATTTTAAAGGGTAAAAGCATTTTAGTTTTGTAACATTTACGTGATAGCAAAGCTTTAGTAAACCTTTAATTTCTTGCGTAGCTTACATTAATATATGTATAGCCCTTGTTTTAATAAATATTTAAGAATTTTGTTGGGAAATACCTATGTATATTTGGGGCTTTATTAATTATTATGTTTTTACCGTATGTGCTCTAATATAGGCTCGGCTCTATTAGAAGCCAATTTTTAATATATAAATCCACCCGAAGAGTCCCAGCAAAAAGTCCCAGCAAAAAATCTAGAGATTGGATTTCCTGTCTAGTGATAGGAAATTTTAAAATCCCTTGACTTAAAATTTTTGTTGAGGACCTTGTCAAGATTCTTGACCTTAAGTCAAAGAAAATGAAGGTCCAGAAAAGTCAAGGAACCCTGTAAAATGCCCTGATCTTGAAAGCAAAATCTGGATTCGGATCTAGGCCGATCTCTACATTCTTTAGTAGAAGAGACTCTCAGTAATGGGAAAATTTGCACGGTTAATATCTAATATAAGTGCCACTCAAAGTGATCTATTAAAAAATCAGCTTAAAAATTCTGATTTTTAAATAGAAAAATGAATACTTCAACACCAACAACAAACCAAACAGAATTAATAATTATATCTCCATTTATTTATTCATTATTAAATATATTATCAACAAATGTAGCTATTCCACACATTATTGCTGGAATAATAGGAATACCTTCTGCTTTACTTTATATTTTTGAATTAATTATTTTATATAAAAAATGGAAGGAATTTAAATCTTCTTTTTTTGTTCTATTCTCTCTTAGAGCTGTTATTGTAAAAATTAAAATTTTTCAAAAAAATTTTTAGAGGGGGTCTAGGAAAATTCATTAAGTCCATTAAACTACTATTTATTCCACAAAATATATGGAAGGCCGGCCATATTTTCTCTAAATATGAGACATGGCAAATTTAAAACACCCAATCGTAGTGGGATGAATGGCAGTTAATAGCCTTGATCGGTGAGATTCTCGGATCAAGTCCCCTCTAATCCTTTGCTATTTTATGGGACGATTAGGTCACCTCTCTAACATGAGGAGATCGGTTTCTAGTTGAGACCCATGCTTAGGAGTCTCGATGAGAGTCTTGATGAGAGACTCGATGAGAGACTCAGGGACTCAGACTCTCTCAGACTCAGAGAGACTCATACTCATTCGAGACTCATGTTAGGAGTCT